TCGACGTTGGCCATCATGGCCGCATCTGCCTTGAAGAAGAACATCATCAATGTCGAGGCGGCATTTCAATCAAACACTGGCTCATCAAGTGCAAGCTTCAGACAGATCCATGGAAATACCGAGTGTCAGCGAAAGCAAGCGGATATACTCCAAAAGATCCTGGAGCAGAATCCGACAGGCTGCGTCATTGTTTGTCCATGGATGGAGAGAAAAGTCCAGAGCCTCCTTCGGCAGTTTGCAGCCACAAATCCAGTCATTCATGTTCTTCGGGAAGTCGACGCGATTCAAGGTCACCTGAAGCTCAAGGATAGGACAAAGGCCCACAACCTGATGCAGATGAGCAACTTGTTCTATCGCAGCTGTACCAATCTCGAGTTCTTTAACGTCTCCGAGATCCGGGAAACCTCGATTGAGGGAAATGAGACCAATCACCAAACCCTCACAACAAACGCGCCCTATCTCGCACTCAAGCCGGCAGAAAGACATCTCCTAAAGTTCCTGTCTCTCGTATATCCCACTGGCACAATCCCGTTTTTTGAATCCGCATCTCCTCTCGCCAGCATTGCACCCGAAGACAGAGAGTTTACGTATTGTCTCTCAGTGCGCCTCCAGGACGTTTTGAACGGCACTCAAAATTGGGAAGACGCAATAGTTGGCGTCGACGCTGTTCAAATCTTCGTGAACAACTTGGCGACACTCGAGGATTCGATGGAGAGCGTCGACGAGTGCACAAACAAAATCACCGAAGCTCTGGGGATTGTGAGAAAAAGCACCATGTTGCCCATCTTGCTGCACATAAAGCTTCCGGAGATTCCAAACAATAGGGTAGTGCGATCATACTTGGATCTTCTTTCACACGCTCTCTCTCTGGCTCCGGAGATGCTCACAGTCGACCTGCGACTTGACCAGTCTGATCTCTCGAGAATCATTTCAGCGAAAAGCCGATCAAAAATTGTTGGAAACTACTATATATCAACAGATTCTCAGCCTTGGGACTCTCCAGCTTGGTTATCTCGGTACCACAAAGCGTGCCAGCTTGGCTGTGACCTGGTCCGCCTCGTCCGAAAAGCCGAAACAATGGAAGATAACTTTCGAATCTCACAACTCAAGTCCAAGATATCCTCTCTCAAAGGTCACAAAATACCACTAATTGCGTACAATTGTGGGCATCTCGGCCGGCACTCGGCCTGCTTCAACCAGATACTTACGCTGGTCGCTCCCAGTCTGGTGACGCAG